TGGGAGAATGTGTTATATGTCTGTTGTTTGAATTAAATGTGAGTAAGGTTAAAAGTTTTGATGACTGCTTGATGTGTGAAAAGTAAATGCTTTATATGGTAGATTTGCAGAATGGTATTTACAAGAAATATTTTGCTTTGTTGATATTTATAGTAGATTGCACTTTTAACCCCTTGGATCTTGATGAAGTGACCATCACTTCAAAGAAAAATTTGTCTGAGGGCTGGGGACATGAATTTGATGTCAGGGGAAAATTTGCCTGGGTGCCAGGGTAGTGGGAATATACTGTTGTGAGAACTTTGATTGAAGGCTGGGGTGACAGGAATGACTTGCCACGAGTGCACAAAACTCATGGAGTGTGATTAGACTCAGTGGGCATTTTGGAAGGGGGTCTTGCATTATTTCTATTAGTTCACAAGTGTGATATGTACCATATGTTAGCTGGTTAGCTGGAAGTTGCTGGCACCACAGATGCAAGGGCTTAGTTACAATTGAAGCAAAAATTGTCTCCACTAATATCTTTGTTGCATATATAATGCCTTAACAAATTGCATAATTAGTATTCACTTAACCAAATAGTGCTCCAATTGTCATGTATGGCATGTCTTTTATTTAGGTAAACACAAAAGATTATACTGCTTGCAGATATGTCATGTGTGTTTTATCCACTTTTCACTTTAATTACTTTCCTTTCATCTCCATGATTTGCTTTTATCTTCTAACCACGGTCTCATTTGCAGGACGACACATAACCCCCTGTGGAGTGTGAATCGGATTTATAAAGATATGTTTAAACTGAACCCCAAAACAATTCTGGTTGCAGCTTTGAACTGGAGTGGTTTGAACACCTTCAGATTGTTGCCAGCAATGACATCAATGAAGACACCATCATCAGTCTCAATGAACAGGGCCACAAGATTGACAGTTTTGGCATTGGAACGCATTTAGGTATGGTGGTAGCTCTCTCAGGGCAGGGTTCAGGTTGGGTATGAAAGGGTGTTGCTGTTTTTTTTTTTTTTTTTTTTTTTTTTTTGTGATGATTATTATGTGACTATTACATGACATATAAAGTAAGAAAGATGTGGAAAGAACAGGCCTGAAATGAAGATTGAAAGGGCAGAAAGATGCAAAACATGTAAAACAGGAAAGAGAGAAAAAACAAAACAAAAATATTAAGAGTGATGTATTAGAAGAAATGTCCATTAATTTTCCACTATATAGAGAGAGATATATTGAAAGATTTTTACAGTTTATCAAGAGAGAGATAAATACAGGAAGAGAAGTGTATTTATTACTTTTAAAGATTTCACGATTGATATACATTATGTGAATAAATCTTTATCATTAACCATTACAGTGACGTGTCAGAGACAGCCAGCACTTGGATGCGTTTTCAAGTTGGTTGAGATTAATGGCATTCCAAAGATCAAGCTGTCCCAGGATGTTGAGAAGGTTACCATTCCAGGGAAGAAGTCTGTGTATCGGCTCTATGGCGCTGACGGTAAGGAATAGCTGCTCTTAGTTTTTTGCTTGACGAAAATATCCATTAAGTAGTTATGATTTTATCTAAATAGTATATTTCATATTTTTTTTCAATGGAAATTATGCCTTAAAGGTACTTTCAGGACATATATAATGGAGATTATACTCACTAAGGATTCAGACAGCAGGGAAAGTATAATGTAGAGGGAGGAGTGCTTTATTCTTGATCTTCTACACTTTGTTTTTTTAATTTAATGATTTTGTAGATTTCAGCCTTTGCTTCTTTTTATTTTAAGAATCTGTATGGTAAATTTGCATTAAAGCAGCATATTTTCATAATAGTAATATTTTATGCACCTGTTAATCAAATTAGGCATACAAGCATAAAGAGAGAGAATCATCTGAGACTTAGATATGTGGAGAATCACTTCTGTTAATCCTAGTTTTGCTGGAATAGAAGAAAGATATTTTTCCAAAAGATAAGTTTCATTGTCAGCTTTATTTATAAGAAAGATTGATAGATGATTGATAGATAGTCTTATGGGTTCCATTCTCTGTCCTAACAAATTTTTTATGATGTCCAGGTCATGCACTGATTGACCTGATGCAGCGCACAGAAGAGCCTGCCCCACAGTCCGAAACAAGAGTGCTGTGTCGTCATCCATTCCAGGAGAGCAAGCGTGCATACGTTTGCCCTGCTAAAGTTGAGTCTTTGTTTAAGGTGAGTTCTGAGTGATGAGGGTGTAAGGCATTCCCAAGCCCTTATAGCTGGAATTGGTTGATGTAATTTCTTGATTTATGGATTTATAATAGTTGTTTTGATGATACACTAAGCAATGGAGGTAAAAGATAATAATAATAATAATGATGATAATGTGCATCATTTGAGATTGTTATTAACCCATTGGTGGTGAATAAATGCTTTGTAGTTTGGTTTTGTCATTTTGTTTACACATAGCTTCACAGGGTCACTATTAACATTATTTTTAATATTATTGAAATTATTATCTTCCTAATGTAATTGTTAATATTTCTTTCCAATAAATTTAGTGAGTACATGCATATATATAAATTTGTATTTTTTTCATTTGCATCTATATTTGTAAACAGAAATCAGGAATATTTTTACTTTACAAGATTATAATTCTTCCGGTCCCTTATCTTCAAATTTGTAGTTGAAATGCCTTAAATTTTAACAGGAGCATAATTTTCACAATCCGCCTATTTTCTCCCCTCTCTCAGCTCTACTGGAAAGATGGAGAGCTTCAGCAAGACATGCCCACGCTGGAAGAAGTCAGAGAGAGAGTGCAGGAGTCCCTTCAGACGCTGAGGCAGGACCACAAACGCAACCTGAACCCAACTCCCTATAAGGTAAGGACGGTGATGTTGTGGTTTTGTAAGGTTTTTATGGTGGAAATTGGGTTTACTCGGGATTTCTTGTTCATTTGTTGATTTGGATATTGCTGGTTTGGATAACTGTTTTGTTGGTATTATCATTACCGTTGTTATCATTCTAATTGTGTTTATTGTTGTTACCATTATTATTATTTCTGTTTTTATCATCTTCTTCATTATCATTGTCAGTGCCATCATCACTGTAATCATCATCATTATCATTACTATTACCATTATTATTGCCATTATTATATATTTTTTTTTACTATTATTAATTGTAATAAAAATTATCATCATTTCTGACTTTATTTGTTATATTTAATTACATTATTAATTTTTATTTTTATTGGGGTTTCTTACTGCTTATCATCATGTTTATCTTTCTTGTCAACCATTTCTATTATACTATTACTTCTTTCTCGAAATACACATCCGTATCATGACTACCACCACCCTCCACCCATCACCCACCCACCCTCCACCCATCACCCACCCACCCTCCACCCACCACCCACCACCCTCCACCCATCACCCACCCACCCTCCACCCATCACCAACCCACCCTCCACCCATCACCCACCCACCCTCCACCCATCACCAACCCACCCTCCACCCATCACCCACCCACCCTCCACCCATCACCCACCCACCCTCCACCCACCACCCACCACCCACCACCCTCCACCCATCACCCACCCACCCTCCACCCACCACCCACCACCCTCCACCCATCACCACCCACCCTCCACCCATCACCACCACCCACCCTCCACCCATCACCCACCCACCCTCCACCCATCACCCACCCACCCTCCACCACCACCCACCACCCTCCACCCATCACCCACCCACCCTCCACCCATCACCCACCCACCCTCCACCCATCACCCACCCACCCTCCACCCATCACCCACCCACCCTCCACCCATCACCCACCCACCCTCCACCCATCACCCACCCACCATCCATTACCAACCCACTAGCCATTACCCACTCACTACCCACTGACTATGACTGTCTGCTCACTAGCTACCACCACCACCTCTTATTCTTATGATTGTAACATGTTCTTGATGTGTGGTTATAAGCACATTTCACATTTATTTTACATTATTATATTGAAAGAATAATTGATTTGATAAGAAGATCATCTAGTCTTGTTGCAGTTTTAAGATAATGTTTCATTGCTCAGTGTGTGTCATACTTAAAAATACATACATATATATATCATAGTCTGAATTAGCATGTTTCAACTGCATGTCTCATTTATATGCAGTTGGGAATTGAAGAGAAGCTTAAAGGTTGTTCGGTATGTCATTTGATCAGCTCCCCAGGCTTCGTTTGCTTTCCCATTTCCATCATTTGCTTAGATCTTAGTCGACAGAGCTGTGCAGAATCTGTTCCCCACACAAGGCTCATGTGTTTTAAGGTCCTGTGTTGTTTTTCTATTGGTAGCATAAAGAAGTTTTTGCTGGAGATGCAAGCTTTTTATAGTCAGATTTCTGTGATGGAATTTCCTTCATATCAAGGTGATTGATTGATTTGTATTTTATTGCATATGTCAAGAATATATATATATGTGTATTGGAATGTTTGAAATATTAGAATTTGTAAGAAAAAGGTGTGGAAATTAAATGCTAGTTAAAGATGAGACTAGGAATAATGAAGTGGATTGTAAAAACAATGATCATGTTTCTATTGTTGTAATGCTATGAAAAGATGCTCTAATTTGATGATATGACCTTGACAATGTTGGTAATATTGTTAGAAAATGGTTAAAGTGTTTACAAGTGTTGATTATTGCTGATTAATGAATTGTGAGCTTAGAAATGTAAAATCATTTAAACCATGTCAAGAAATTCCTCATGCAATCACTTGATATGAAGACATAATTTATTTAATTACTGTATGATATTTGATTAACTATTTTCGGTAGCTATGTTTCCAGTAGAAAATGTTTATGCTGCTATGTTAGCAGTTCACTGACTGAACTGATTGCCAATATGCTGCAAGAGAGCCTTTATTACATGTATACCTTTTTATTATTATTACCATTCTCTCCCCCATGTCTTGAAGCTCTCTTAAACTGATTTATTTGTCGATATCCCTTTCCAGTACAACAGTTTGTGCTTTTTAAGATACAGATTTAGCATGAAAACCATGCATTTCTGAGAGATTTGGTATTGTCTGCATCATCATTGTACTTTTTTGAATGAGTTACTAAGAAACTTCTGTTCTACCAACCTTTGATTTCCTACTCGCAGAATGGGCTGCTCTATAGGCCATCGCGCAAATATGTAAAGAAAGTTTTGGTAAGAACTGTATCAAAAGTTAGACTAGTGCCGACAGGAGCATGTCTCTCCTTAGCTGACTCTGCACCTTTTAATATTGCCACCAACTTCCATGTAGCTTTGCTTCAATTCTCAATCTTTTTTTCATTTTTTTTTTCTCTCTTTCTCTCCTCCCTCCTTGTCTTCTCTCTCAATAATCTTCGCCTAGACATTATTTTGAAAGGCGTCAGCCATATGGCCCTGCCAAGGAGCTGAGTTGTTCAGATGTTCATATATTTTGTGATGCTTCAGAAATGCATGGACAGTGTCATGAGTGTGGGACGAGGATCATGACTAGTGTAGAACATGTTTGTGTTTAATAAGGGGTGAGATTTGATGCTTATTAGTTTGAATTTAACAGAGTTGGAAGTTATCTAGCACTCAGCCATGGTTAATCAGTGTCTTTTATTGTGTATTTAATCTGAAGAAGGAGAAACAGAAAAAGATCATTAAAAAAGTAAATCCAATTCCCCTGTTACATTTCCTTCTTTTTTTTTGTCTTTAGGATGATGCTTCTTGTACTACATCTAAACCCTGTGTAGGTCAGGGATTGTAGACTTTGTATTTTACTTCCATCAGGACTTACTTTCCATTTAGGACAATGAAAGTGAAAACAATTCCTGGTTCAAATTTTTCTTTTAAGATTCTTATAGATAAATGACATCTTTGAAAAGGTAATATTTAGTAGTATTGAAGAAATGTTGAATTCATTACCTATACCTGTTATTTGTACCTTTCTTGTGGCATAAAAAAATATTGAAAGATCATCTTTGACTTTGAAAGAGAGTGTGAAATATTGTACATACTACTTAAGTGAATAAAATCTGTCTGGCCTAATCCTTTGCATTTGTGTTGCTGGTCTCTGTGGGCTGTGGATATTACATAGTTGTATTTATCAAGTTTTCTTAATTACTGATATATATACTTACATATACAGACAGAGAGTGAGCATGTCTGGGGGAATGAATAAATGAGTGAGTGAGTTTGTGAGTGAGTGAGTTCATGAGTGTTAGTAAATGAGTGAGTGAGCATGCAAGTGTGAGTGAGTGAAGGAGCAAGTGTGAGAATGAATGAGTGTGAGTGGGTGAGAGAGGGAGAAGGAGTGAGTGGGTGAGACAGGGAGAGGGAGAAGGAGAAGGAAGAGAAGGAGAAGGAGTAGGGGAAGGAGGAGGAGGGTGGAGAGGGAGAGAGGGAGAGGGAGGAGGAGAGATGGAGAGGGAGAAAGAGATGGAGAGGGAGAGGGAGAAGAAGGAGGAGGAGAGGAAGAAGAAGGAGAAGGAGAGGGAGAAGAAGGAAAAGGAGAGGGAGAAGAGGAAGAGGAAGAGGGAGAGGAAGAGGAAGAGGGAGAGGAAGAGGAAGAGGGAGAGGAAGAGGAAGAGTGAGAGGGAGAGAGAGTGTGTGTGTAAATTTTCTTAGATACTTGTGTAAATATGTAAATATTAAGAATGTTTTCATACCAGACTAAACATCAAACTTACTGATATGATTTTCTTTCAAAATGCTTCTCCAATTACTTCTCTCAAAAATTGTATCTGTTGTCTAAGTCAGTATTTCAGCCACCTGTAACCTGTAAAAAAATTCTAAGCTTTCACTGAACTTTTTAAAAAAACTTGTGATAAGGAAGATAGATCACACAGAAGAATAATTTTATTTAAAATTTAAGCCTAGAATATTTATCTGCCGTTGATTTTGGATTGTAGCAAATCTAGTCAGGCCTCAAAATGAAGTATCCAAAAGTGTGCCTGTAAATAATTGTTAAATGTAAAAGTCAGTTATAGTATATAGGAAGTATCATTCTTCATTGAGTCCCAGTAGGAGAAATAATGTAATAATTGTATTGGATAAGTGTATGTAAACTTCAGCAAGGAATTTTTTCACCCATTTGATCCAACGCAGTTCAATAAGTATATCAGCTCATTTCAGAGGATTAACTAGGGTGTACAAGCTTATCACAAATGCATCACTTTCATGCCAGTTAACTATCAGCGTAAATTATTAAATAAATTCAAAAGAATGTATCTATATCTGCTGCCTAACATGAGTTAAACTGTAGTCTTTATGTAGTAGTCAATCTTCATTCTTATAAACTGCATGCCAGATCACTTACATCATTGCTCCAGAATCCGAATGAATTAGTTAGAAGACTTCTTGCAAGGGGAAAGAGGCCAGTGGACCCAAGGTGGGATATTCTTACACAAATACAAGTTTATGCTTATACTAAAGAGAACATAGAAGGTGCATTGTGTATAGATACTCTTTGTTTAATTTGCTTCTTTAAAAGTGAGTTAGTCACCTGTTTGGACTTAGAATGAATGGAACTCCTTTGCCTCTGCAGATGTAGAAGGTATGGGTTTAGAGACATGAAGAGCATTGTAAACATTATAAAGTTTATATTTCCACATTTTCATGCTTGTGCTCGTAAAGTGGCTAACTTGGCTCTATCCTGTAACCCCCCCATTATCAAACAAAACTCTATTTTATAGACCCCTAGTGCATGAGTACTTTTCCATAATATATTCATTATTAAATGCTTTTATTTTTCTTACATTCCAGGTTGGAGTTACAGATGAGCTGTACAACTTCATACATGACTTGTGGCTACAGAATGCCCCTATTGGTGAGCTCTTTTAAAATACCTTGACATGCAGGAGATGTGTTGTGGAAAACTGTTCTTGGTATTTTTAGGAAGAGATAAGATGCAGTTGAAAAGTCAAGGAAAATTGCTTGAACAGTGGAAGCACAATATATAAATACACAAAACCTCTGCATGGAATCATGGTAGCTTTTTTGTTGCATTTGAGGCAAAGATGGCCAGCCTTTTCACTTCAGAACCGCCCTGAACCATTTTCCATACTATGCGCAACCACTTCTTGTAGAATATGAAAGCAGAAAGGAAAATTTAAGATTTAACAATGGCGTGTTACTTGTTTTTATAGGGACTATTGTTGTTGTTTTTTGGCCTTAAAAACACTGTCAGTTTACTGATAATTTTTTAATTAATTCTATATTACATATTTTATTTTCTCATGGGGCCTGGGCAGGAGTCACTGGTCAGAGAGTTCAAGGTGTTGTTAAAACCTAGGAAGGAGTGGTGTGTGTGAGTGTCCATGGGATCATCCTGCAAGTGTGAAGGCTTGTGGAAGTTCATTCATTTTTAAACTGATCTCTTGAGGTTGGAAGGATCATTTTATTGCCTTAATTATTGATTTTACATATATATAGAGATTTTTTTCTTTACAAAGAAGAGAATTTATAAAGGACAGTATATTTATATTTTTTATTTTATGTAGTTTTCTGCAAAATAATCAGGAACTTTCTTTATATAACAATGTAAGAGATATAGAAAATATTATCAGTCTAGGAAACTAACTTGTATGAATGTCAAATAATATTGATCACTATGTAACTTTCACAATAGACAGTGTCTGTCTGTATTTCCACTGTACAAAACCCATGACTGTCACAACAAAACCACACACAGCATGTGTTGATCTTATGTGAAAGAAGAAAACAAAGGAATTGAGTGTCGGGTGAGTGGAATCCTCCCATGCGTGTAGATCTTGGAATAAGCATTAAGCAACATGTGAGGGAGAGGGAGAGGAAGGAAAGGGCAGGAGAGGGAGAGGAAGAGGAAGGAAAGGGCAGGAGAGGGAGAAGGAACTATTTACTTAAAAGTGTGGTTGGTTAAGACACAGTTTAGTAAGCAGTTTGTTACACCCAATTAGGGCTTATGAATAAGAGACATTTATTTAGTTGTTCATTGTGTATTTTAGTATAAAAAAATGAAGTGCACTTTGTTACTTTATGAAAGTGATGAAAGAAGATTGTACATGTATGTTTGCTTTTGTATGGAGTACATTGAATGCATGTGAATTGTTCTTTGGAGGAGGGAGAATTCAGTTTTTTATTAGAAAATTTTATCAAGCTGACAGTCGGTATCACATTTATAAGTTTAAGTCGTGAATATAAACCATAGAGGATATGAAAAAAAAGGGTTGTTGTTTTGTAACATTTATGGATATGATAAATAAAAAATAAGAGAAAGGAAAAAAATATTTGGAAACAGTTTAAGGATTCAAATATATGCTAGAGAAAGTCATCTGCATAAACAGAAAAAAAATAATGGCTAATTCATAAAATTTTAGTTGCAAAATTGTTGAAATCATTAATAGATCAGAGAATGTGTGATTTTCTTGTAATCATTACTTTAAAAAACAGAAGGATCACAGTTGATATAAATAAGTTATATTTGTAAAATGTATAAATAAAAGTCAATAAATGTCACTTAGTATGAAGATCAATTTGTAAAATTCTACAGTAATATTTACTTGTCAAACATTCAGTAATAAAAGTTTTTTATGTCAATTTTTATATTCATGGTAAAAAGAACTTAGTCCTAAAATAGTTGCTCTGAAGTCAGTTTGTAAGTTTTTCTTTTCATCTCACAGGTTATATTTAAGTTGACGTATGAGGAAGGAAGGTAATTACCAAAGCCATGATGTAATTACTCATTAACTGTAGCTGTGTTTTGAAAAGTAAGTCACTATCACTCCCTGGACACTGTCGAGTTAGGAAGAGTATCCAGGTAGGGGGAACGTGGTCATTTATGTCTGTCATGGGTGTGTGTGTCCTCTTTCTCTGTACTTGATAATGTACTGGAGTAACTCCATACAAGCACATTATTACAAGGATACCCAGTGACTAGACTACTGGTAATTTAGTATGTCATGTGTGTGTGGATAGCAACTTTTTCACTTTGATATTGTTAAGTCTTGTGTGAAGATACTTGTTATAATGATGAGTTCTGAATTTTTGTTCGTGGTGCTGAATCGGTGAACAAAAAGGAATTTCCAATTTATAATATGAATGTTACTTGACAATTCTTTTTCTTTGTGAAATATGGGTAGATAAAGTGAATGTGAATTTATGTGGGTTACATAGTATTTTGAGTGTAATTTCTTGGGTAGGGGAATTCTTTTATTGTATTTATTCTTGTTTACAAATGCTTTCTTGGTAAATATTTGAATTATTAGAGATATAAATGAGAAATACTGAAGCTGTAGCATTTTTTTATTTTTTTTATTGGCACTTATTAGTTCCAGATGGTAGAGGCATAGAAGATACCAAGTTGGTTATTCCGTCCAGATTCCATGGATGAAAGTGAAGAAGTGATATTATGTTATTTCTCTCTTTCACACACACACACACACACACACACACACACACACACACACACACACACACACACACACACACACACACACACACACACACACACACACACACACACACACACACACATATTCTCTTATGATTTTAATGCATGGATTCATTTTATACTTAATTTCATGAGGAGACCAAACCTGCCAGAATATATTTTGGTCTTAGAAATCATACATGGAAATTCAAAGTGAGATATACAGTAGAAACTAAACCCATTATCCTGAAATAGTTTCAGAGATCAGTCCAGCGATAACTTTTAGGAAGCGAGCAGTATTTTACCCTTATGGTGTTAGATAATAGAGAGTTAGAGATGGATGTCAAAAGAAATTTGTCTAATGGTTGTAGTTGTGCTGTGAAACTATATATAAAAAAAAGTGCAATATATTTGAAACACTGGCTTTAAAAGCATTATTGTGAAATACATATTTGTTTCCATTGCATCATAGACATTAAGTAGAACAACTAATTTCAAGGAACATTTTTCTCTTACATTTATCAAGTTATTATGCAGTGGGGTCTTAAGAAGACTTCCAATTGACAAAAAGAAGATTGTACCCCCTGTTATTGTAAGAATTTGGTACAACGATGTGCTATGTGTCTATGTTTCCGTGTAGGTTAAGGGTCTTTAACTTTCATTGTACAGTATATCTTGTACATCTAGACATTCCTTAGGTGTATATGAACTATACTCTGCCCTTTATTTTTTATGTGTCATAAAAAGATAGTTCAGATTAGAGTACAAGACATGCAAATTAATATGTGAAGATTCAAGTTGTAAAGGTTCAGTATTTCGCATGAGGAAATCAGTCTGTGTTTGGTAAAAGCTGCTGATATATCCTATTTCTTCATATTGCTATTATTATTATTGTTGTTATTACTGTCATTATTATTTCTCTACACCAACACAGCAGTTGCATGAGGAATGTTTTATTCTCAAGAAAGTTTTGGATATTTCTATATCCTACTGGTAGGGAAATGCAGTCTTATAACACACAAGTTTATCCTGTTGTAATATTTCCCAAATGTTGTAAAATTAGCAGATGTTATTAATTAATATCACTTGCTTTCATTCATTCTCTGTTTTTTGGATCATGTAACAAGTCCAGACTTAGACATAATGTGTTTTAATAGTATTTTATTTATTAATTTCATTTTAAAATGGGATTTGATTTGCTAAAGATGAAATTACTTAAAATAATCTAACTAGTCATAATAATTATCCAAGGCCTTACAGAAAAAATATGAATTAAGATATAAAATAATACCATTAATGTGAAAGCATATAGGGACAGAATAGTATACATATATGTACAGTAGTGAAAATAGGAATGCTTATTTTTTTTTAAAGACAAGTCTTTGCACATAATTGTGTGTAAGTCTTGTACTCAATTTTGGCAGATAGTTCAATTGAGTCCTTTATCCTGAAAAGGGTAATGTTGCACATGATAAATACCTAAGACTAAGGATGTGCTGGTTAGCATTCTTATGGTATTTTAGAATTTATTTTTTATAGTACACCTCAAGGAACATCTGCTGTATGTTAGACTTGGAAGTACTACGTTCCTCCTTGATATTGTTGATATTATATGGAAAATATATATAAAGCAAATTAGTAACTGTAACTGTCTAGCAGAACACAGAATTTCTTAGCTGTTGAACCTATAAAGATATTGATGATTAAAAAGTTGTTTTCTTTTCTTTTCAGCCTTTTCATTATGTACACAAACCTATATTAACATGCATAGACTATAAATCTACATACTTACATATATATGGTAAGCTTTCAATTTTTCATATAGTTACATACATGCTTATTTCTAGTACATTGAAGACATGACATTGATTTTTTTATTAACATGACTAAGAGTGGCAGAAACAAGAAAATTAAAATAGCTGCATATATATTAGAAAAGGGCAGGAAGAGAACAAAAGCGGGATATTTGAAGTTAAACTAACTTAAGAAAAGTTTAAAGAATCATAAGATATGTTCAAACATCTATTATGATCCACGCAGTCTCCAGGCAAATTAGAGAATGAAAAACTTTACATAAAACAACTTATTCTTTCAGT